ACCGGGGGGGGGGGGGGGTCTGCGCCGTCGTAGTCGGGTGTCAGGGAGTGCAGGGAATACATTTAAGCACGTCATCTGGCTTAGCCCAGGCAAGTTTCAGCGCACATTCGTCAGTGTTGTTAAGTAGATCAAAAAGCAGGGCTTCAACCAATCTTTGGACGGGTCCCATACGCCTGCTATGATCGTCTCACTCTCATTTTTCGGTATCTGTCCCCTTGGCGCTCTTGGCGCCCTTGCCCGCCACGCGTGGGTGGATCTTAGGTTGACCTCCTGTTCGTACACCCTCAACCCTTCGTTCACACTGTGAAGAATTCCGGTTTTGTGTCAGGTCAGTTTGGTGCTCTGATGGAAGTGGGTTTCTGGATTTGAAGCAGGAACTTGATCGCGAGGGTCGCGAGAGAGAAAAGGTGGATACAATTGGCAATGGAGGAAATACACAGTCCGACGGCGAAGGATTCGATAATCCAAGGCACGTTGTGGAACCAGATGAATTGGTCGGAGTGAGGCTCATACTTGAAGCTCCGGTTCAGTCGCAGCCACCCGAGTACGGACACTGCGGTGTTAATGATCAGCAGCAGAGTCAACCCGGCGAGTAGACGCAACGCTTCGAATTCGGTCAGACCGCGGTTGTAGGCACTTGTGCGCAACCGGAGAAAGATCCAGCAAGCAAGAGCGCAATCTAGAAACGCGGCCACCATCACCGCAAACAATTCCGAAGGGATATCTGTCCCCGTTGGCAACGGCGCTGAAAGGGACAGAGCTGAGCGACAATAGGGAGGGAGTCACGATCGTGAGTGGGCAAGGAATATGGGTGGCAAATGACGGGGACAAAAATACCCATGAGGCTAGTCAAATGAGTCAGGGCGGCCAAGCCATAGATAGAACAAACGCTGCCGAAACGTTCAGAACGGGTGAGAACCAGAAGACTGACTGGCCCTGCTCCTTTGACGCTGGTAAGCACTCGGTGCATTGGTGGAGGTGCACTTGGTCATTTTTGGGTCGCAAATGGTTGAAACGTCATGGACAAAGCGCTTTCGAATTAAAAGCTATGAGTAAGCAAACACATTTGCCGTAAACCCTTACAGGTAACTAATAGCCCCGTGACTTACCGCCTGGACCGCCTGGACCGCCTGTCAGACCACCTTCCTTGGTGGCCCTCGTAATGACGGGCGTGCAGTATCATAAACATTCCAGCAAAGGTTCTGCTGGCACAAACATGTGGCACAAACATGTGGCACAAGCATGTGGCAAAGTTCCTCCAGCAAAGGCTTGTGAAGCACAAGCCGGTTTTGTAGCTACGCGTTTGTCGTTGAAGTTAATCTGGCTCACTACCAAGATCCGTTAGCAGACTTTTATCAGCACCGACAGCCTAATCGTAAGACGGAACTCTCCTCACTGACCCCCCCCCCCCCCCCCGTTGTTTGGCGTGTTGTTTCAAGTTTAGTAGAGGACGAATTGAATGCGAGAGTTGAGAAGGGTGCTCCGGTGTTGATAATATTTCGTGACCGGCCGGACATTGTGGAGTTGCCACATGCGTCTCATTTGCATGACTCGGAGATCAAGGACCAGTTGGGTCAATTGCAGTGTGCACTACAAGTACACGTAATCCTAGGCATTTTGGTGTTAAAGGGGCGACGGTTTCTGATGGTGGTGGCGGGACAGGAGATCGTGGCAACTTTGCCCCCGGACTGTTCGCCTCTGGGTGTGTGTGAGACTGCACATGAGGTGCCGGCTATCAGTCTGCGACGTTGCAGTCTCTTACCCGCACATCGACAGATCTTCGCTGTGAGTTCGGTGATTGCGTTGCCCTTTTACATCCCCACGGAGAAGTTCTTAAGTGCAAAGCTGCTGAAGCCGGTGACCGCCGTTTACCGCGCTCCCGCCATGGGAACTCGTGGTCCTTCTGAACCGGACATTACTGTCGACGACTTGCTCGGCCCAAGCATTGCTTCCGTAGTTAGTGAGATTGAACGCTCCCTCTCCAAGGGTACCCACTTCTTCAGCTTCGACTGCGACCTCACCCACAGCCTTCAGGCCCAGTACCTCCGCTACAAAAAGGACCGCGAATGGTGCATTCCCCAAAAAGTGCCCGTCTGGACACCGCCCATCAAGACCGTCAACCTCCACCCCGCCACCGACCACTCCGGTCACCATACCGGTTACCACACGGGTGACCATACCGGTCACCATACGGGTGACCATACCGGTGACCATGCGCGTGACCATACCGGTCACCATACGGCTGACCATACCGCTGACCATACCGCTGACCATACCGGTGACCGGTTCAAAGCGCTACCATTGTTGGAATACGCCCGTCCCGGCTTCGTTTGGAATGCGAGTTTGTGCGCTCCATTTTTAGAGAACAAGGTAGACCCGCAATGGTTGTGTCCAGTGGTGCAGGGTTCAGTATCTGCCACCAACACGAACGCAGGAGATGTGTACATTTCTATGGTGCTAATATCGCGGCGTTCGGCATTGCGAGGTGGCACGCGTTACTTCGCGCGTGGATTGGACGAGCAGGGACATGCTGCTAACTTTTGCGAATCAGAAATGCTCTGTGCCATCTACCCCACCCTCACGTCACAGAACGGCGTGCCCTACTTCCCCAGCTCCTCTCTCGGCGTCGACCATTGGACGCCCGAACAACTACATGCCGGAGACCGTCCACCACACCACCCACTCAGAGATCGCACACTCACCGCCGAGGGCCTGTCTGCCGCGGAACTCGCCGGACACCTGGCCGCCTCTTATAAGTCTTCCCAAGACCTCGCACGACAACTCGAAACTGTCGGCGAAATCTTCGCCGGTCAAGCGGTCGCCGACAAACTGACCGGCGGCGCCGGAGCCGGCGCTGGCCCTGGCGCCGGCTCTGGAGCCGGCTCTGGGGCCGCAGCTGCAGCTGCGGCTGCCGCCGAGAAAGAGGTTCCTGTCACGGGTGCGAACAGCAGCAGCAGCGAGAGGGGACCCGTTCCGGGTTGGGGCGGATGGTGGTCGTATTTGCAGATCCGAGGCAGTATTCCCTGTTTCTGGGACCAGATTGGTTTCGGACTGAACCCGCAACCTCGAATCAACGGCAGCTTTCAAGAGAACCTTCAGGGGTTTTTGGCGCACCAGAAGAAGCTCGAACGGGACTACGGGGACGTCGTGTACGTGAACTTGCTGTCCAATTCCAAGCCGGGTGAGGCGCGCATGTTGGACTATATGCGTGACCTGTTGAGCCAGCACAAGATGAATGTGGCACAACAGTCGGGAGCGAACCTGATTGGTCTGGAGGGTCAGGATGATGGTAATCGGTATGACTACTTCGAGTGGGACTTTCATAAGGCAGTTCAGACGGTGGGTTTTGAGGAGGCGATGCGTATGTTCGGGAAGCGGCAAGACGTTTACAACCGGGCAAAGAACATAGGGTACTTCCACACACAGGGACCCGCTCTTCAGAACGGGGTCATCCGCACCAATTGTCTGGATTGTCTAGATCGCACAAACGTGATTCAGTGGTACCTATGTCAAAGAGTGTATCTGTCGTATTTGCTTAAGCATCGGTGGGAGAAGCTCATTCGAATTTGTGGTCTTAAATACGCGCAAGACGTATATGCCAGCCAAATAAAGTGGATCACACTCAACGGTTCTGTGGACGGTCAGGGGTCCTCGCTCTGGCATCAGTTTCAAAGGGATAACCAGCCTAGTTTGCTCGCGCTGCCGATGCATAACCGACAGCCGTTCGTGTGTCCGATTTCGCGCTGGTCACCGATGGCGCCGATTGTGCCTTCTCCACCCTTCCCGGCTACGAGTATTTTGCCCTACTTCTCCTTCTTCCCCGACCCAGAGTTTGTGGAGGCACGCACGTACTTTGTCGGTGGCTGCTCAAACGATCGACTCATCACCGTCTTCTTCAAATGCCATTCGCACTCCTGCGGCCCCCACGGGAGCGGCGGACTGCAGTCAAGTGGCGGGCCACCTCGGGGTGAGTTTGCACCCGTGGACGACAATGAAGTGTTAGTGGGATGGTGGTCCCACGAGTCCAACTTGAGCACCTTGGCGGGAGACAAGGACATCCCTGCGATTGTGCCGTTTGCTCTACCCGTGGAAGGGAACGAGCCAGCCAGCGCAGTGCACGCGACATATGTGGTTAAGGATGCGATCAGTAGCATGTGGGCGGATTTGGGTGACCTGATTTCTGTTGCTTACACTGGTACGGCAAGCGTATTGACCCCGCTGCTGAAGAGTGGTAAGGCCACGATTCTCACGAATCTAACACACCTGAAGCGATCAGTCGGACGTTTATACAAACACACGTTCGAAGATCGGGCGCGACAGGAAGCAATTGACGCCCTTCTCGGAACACAACTCGCTGGTGGCGGCGCTACTTTAACCATGACGGTGAGCCACGGCCCAGTACCGCCACCCAGTGCCCTCGCCGGCGGGGAAGCTGAATTGGGCAACAAGTTCCTTAGTCTCTGGGTCGGCACCTGGAACACCGGCGGCGGCAGTTCTCTAGCCCGTGAAGACTTGAGCGACTGGCTACGAAAAGGTCTCGAGGAACGGGTCGACCTCTTCTGTGTTGCCTTCCAGGAAATTGTCGAATTAGCCTCCATAAACACCGTTCTAAATACACGCAATAAGGGTCGAGAAAATGAAGCTGCAGGAGCACTCTTACGGATACCCGGACTGCAGCAAGACTATAAAATCATCGCAACTAAAACGCTTGTAGGCGTCACCTCCGTCATTCTCGCCAAAAAGGCGCTTATTATCGGCGAAATTGATTGCCGACCACCCCTTGCCGAACTCGTCTCCGGGGACCCTGTCTCCGGTGACTCGACTATGGGCGACCCAGCCGGTATGGGCGACCCAGCCGGCACCGCCTTCTCTGGCGACGCGGTCGGCGACGTGTCCACCGCAACTGGCAACCAGTTGGGAGACCAGTCGCTCCCCTCCTCCATGCTTCCAGCTAAATCCGTAGCCGGGTCAGTGGCAGGTTCCGTCGGATCCGGTGGGATTGGTGAGGTATGTTCTACGGGTGTGAAAATGGGGTTATTGGGTCAGGTGGGGAACAAGGGTGCGGTGATTACGCACTTGTCAGTGAAGGGACGTTCCTTGTGTTTCTGTAACGTGCACTTTAATCCAGATAAGAACTCGGATCGGACGCAGGAGCGTCTAAGTCAGTTTGAGAAGTTGTTCGGTACCACGGCTGGTGGCAGTGGACTCCCGATCCGTGAACACGACTATTACTTCTTGGCAGGCGACTTCAATTGCCCTGCCATGGCCAGCATCAGCGAAATCGAGAAGTGGCTAGCCGAACGACGCTTTGCTGAGTACTTCCAGCGCGATCAACTCTCCTGGCTTCGCACTCTGCCCTCTGCCACCTGCATGCAAGACATTACCGAAGCCACCGTCTCCTTCTGGCCAACCTACAAATATCGCAAAGGCACCTCCACATATGACCGCAAGCGGGCACCCAGCTGGTGCGACCGAGTCCTATTCGGTGGAGTCAAGCTCAACCTCGGCCAAGCACATGTTCAGTCTGTCAGGTACGACCGAGTCAAAACAATCCTCTCTAGTGACCACAGGCCTGTCTACTTCCTTTGCCACATCTATGAACTATAACCCCTCACCTATATCGATCGATTGACCTCTCGGAGCTGGGACCTAGGTGGGGGTCTAGGCGGGAGTCCGTAACCGGCCTCTGACCTTGCCCGCCCCTTCCCTGTCTCCCCCCCTTCCCTGCGACTAAAATCAGTTAGTGCGATCACTTGATGCGCACGCGCGCGTCGTTTCGCGCGCGTCGTTTCGCGTTTTGCGAAGGCTAACGGCGGCGGCGTCGGAACAACCGGGTGCTAGCTAGAGCGATATTGTCCGTGTCGGGCCCGGCCACACATCGGCGTGTCCCCCGGACCCAGCTGGGCGCAGACCCGGTTGGATGCACAGAACCGGGTCAGCTCTCCGGGACTGGGTCGGATATGCCGAGCCTGTGAGTTGTGATAGAGTTCCAGTTAAATGCTGGAGTCGTCCATTTTGGGTGCAAGATAGAACTTGATGTAACCGACGTGGGGGTCGTCATTGAGGTTATACTGGACCTCTAGTGGTTGGCCAGGTGAGATGCGGAAGCGTACATTATCTGCTAGGGTTGCAGCTTTGGCAAAATAGCCAAGGTATCGCGAGGCGAAGTTTAGTTGTACGCTTGATTCGTCGCACTGAATGTCTACTCCATCTGACCTGGCTTTAAGAAGTGTATTGGCGGCACCGAAATCTTCTCTCGCTGAGAATTTGATAGTCTTAGGAGTGACTTCTAGGCCAATAGTGTCACTAAAGGTTTGGAGGTCAGTGATATTCTTGGCGAACAACTTCGATGGCATACTTACGGTCGCTGAAAATTCAGTTTCCGGAACCCCCAAATGGTCTTGATCGAATTGCATCAGCCTTAATTCAAAGTCGGCTACGCGATCGTAAGATTCGAACACAAAAGACACCCGATCTTGGTCGTCAACATTTCGAATGATAACCTGATCTTCATTACCGCACAACTTAAAAATCTTACTCACCTGAATCATATTCAGACCCAATGACCGACTCCTACTACATTGGTAATGGTCAAAAGCACCAGACTTTAAACACAACATAACCAAAGCCACATGACTCGTATCCATCGCCTGCAAAGCAATGCCTGCCTCACTGCAGTCCAAATTCACATCTGTAACCATATCCTTAATCGCATCGAATATCTTCTTCAATAACACCCCTTGAGGCAAACGACCCTCCAATGACATCTTGCAAATAACAGTTAATTTATAACCTCAATTATTCCCTCAGTGATAGTTTCCACCTGGCTAAAAACTCTCTCGAAAGACGCAATGTCCACCTAGAAGAAAAGGAGAGGAAAGGGGACTGCCAGTGCCGGCAGGGAATGTGCCTGGGTTGCGGAAATGCCGCGCCGCTGAAATGCCGCGCCGAGGAATGCCGTGGGTCTTAAATGGGGGCGTGCGCGCGCGCGCCAGTTCGATCTGGGATTTTATTTTGGCCCCGTGAATTGACACAATGGGCGTACCAACATTCTACAGATGGCTGTGTCAGAAGTAAGCTTCACCTGCGTGTGCGAACACTTGCACACACGTGTGCGAACACTTGCATATAAACGCGCGCACACGTGTGCACACGCGTGTGCACACGCGTGTGCGAGCGCGACAGTCAGACGGAGATTTTACATGTTGTGTGGTTAACATGTTCTTGTTTTTGAAGGTGGCCGAAGGTGGTGTTGGATGTGGTTGAGGAGCGTGAGAAGTTGGTGAGTGGAGGTGTGTTTGCGCCCGTGGATTTGGAGGAGGCGAATCCAAATGGGATTGAGTTTGACAATTTGTACATCGACATGAATGGGGTGGTGCATCCTTGTGCGCATCCGGAGGATGGGGAGCAGCCGGGTAGTGAGGCGGAGATGTTCCAGAACGTGTGTGATTATATCGACCGTTTGGTGCAGATCGTGCGGCCACGTAAATTCTTGTATTTATGTTTGGATGGAGTGGCGCCTCAGGCTAAGATGAATCAGCAGAGGAGTCGTCGATACAAGGCGGCGATGGAGTCTGAGCGTAGTGAGGTATGTTGGGAGGAGATGACGGAGGAGTGGCGGCGGTTGGGTAAGGTTCCGCCTCCGCGCAAGACGCGTTGGGACAGCAATGTTATAACTCCGGGTACGGACTTCATGGACCGGCTGGCTTATGCGTTGCGCTACTATGTGGCTCGACGCATGAAATCCAGCACATATTGGCAGAGTCTGGTCGTGCTTGTAAGCGATTCGAACGTACCCGGCGAAGGCGAACATAAAGTCATGCGTTATGTTCGCGAAATGCGAGGCATCAACGAAAATCCCAACACGGTTCATTGCATACATGGCATGGACGCCGACCTTATTATGCTTGGACTAAGCACACACGAAACACACTTCTACATCATCCGTGAAATTGTTACCGACGGAGGAGGCAATCGTGAACGTAACAAGCCATCATATATTAAACCAGACCAGGGACCAGGCCTACATAGCGACGGCGTACAAATCAACAAGAGCTTCAGAGCCACATGGAAACCCCTCCAGATCCTACAACTACCAGTACTGAGAGAATACCTCAAATACGAATTCAAATTCGACCAACAAGAACTCATCACTCAACACTCAAGAACCGGACACATCCTGCGACTAACCTCCGATCTGGAAAGACACATTGACGACTTCGTATTCCTTTGCTTCCTAGTAGGAAACGACTTTTTGCCCCACTTGCCAAGTCTCAGCATCCACCAAGGAAGCATCGACCAAATGCTCGCTCTCTACAAGCATGTATGCAAACCACCCAATCCTACTCACCACTCACCCAGTCCTACTCACCACTCACCCAGTCCTACTCACCACTCACCAAGTCCTACTCACCACTCACCCAATCCTACTCACCACCCACCCACCCATAATACTGTCCTAGTCACAATAATGTTGTAATCTTAAACAGTCTCATGGAACACCATCCCGACATCACCCACAGTACCCACCAACTATACCCAAGATGATCGAACCAGCCCAATACGATCTGTGTCTTCTCATAATCATGTGTGTTCCCGTGATCATGTGTGTTCTCATGTTCTGTGTGTTCTCATGCTCATCGATCACGTAATTTGCTGTAGACATTTCCGCAAATTGGTGGCTATCTTACTGACGAAGGAGCAATGCAAGTGGACCAAGTCCAGAATTTTTTGAGGTATATTGCTAAGGCAGAACCGAAGATTTTCGAAGACTCGGTTCGACGGAAGGAGCAACAAGACCGCCGAAACGAGCAGCAACGCGCTGAATCTGCCGCACGCAAAGCCACTGAAGTGAAAGCTGCTCAAGAAAAGGTGGACCTTCGCGGTGCAGAGTCCGAAGCTCAGCAATGGTCGGCGCCCAATCGCTGGTCTGCAGGCGGGACCGCGACACAGTTGCTGCCTCCTCCGCCCAACGCTACTCCGTCAGACGTGTCTGAGGTTTCGCGCGTGAGCCGGATGTCCGAAGGGTCGGCTACGGAGTTGGAGGCTCCGCCGGTGGCTCTCACCGATGAGGCTTCGGTGGATTTCGCGAGGGCCTTGACGGAGCGGCAAAAATCGAATTCACAGAAACACTATGACGAAGACAGTGCGAACCATGTGGCCCTGGGTCAGGGTGACGTCGTAAGCTACCGGCGGGACTACTACATGAAGAAGTTCGGCGCGCGCACCGACGAGGAAGTCGAGAAGATGGCGGAAATGGCCTCGAGACACTTCGTTCGAGGCCTGCAGTGGGTCTTGCTGTACTACAAGAGAGGCGTACCCTCTTGGTCGTGGTACTATCCGTTCTATTTCGCCCCTCTCGCAATGGATATGTTCCGTTACGGATTTATGACCGCCGGCGCACACGCGTGTGCGCCCCCGGTAGAGCCGTTTTCTCTGGGTGCACCGGTTAATCCTTTGGAGCAGTTGTTGGCGGTGCTGCCACCGCGGTCAGCTAGTTTCCTGCCAGCGGCGCTGCAGGACTTGATGGTGAGTCCGACGTCGCCCTTGAAGGACTTTTACCCCAGCATCTTCCATGAGGACACGGATGGCAAGAAGCAGAGTTGGCAGTGGACTGCCATCCTCCCCTTCATCAACATGTCGAGACTGCAGAACGCAGTGGCCAAGGTCCAGCATTTCTACAATGAGAATGAGATTAGACGAAACCGCGCCGGTGCAGAGTACTTGTTTACCGGTGCCGGTCTGTTAAGTAGTAGTAATAATAGCGTCCCCGCCGGGGATGGTAGCGAGACAGCCATTTCGTTAAATGGCGTCTGTGGTACAGTTAGAGCAGTTCGCGAGGCGCCTTTGCCGATGCAAGGTGACAAGTGCTGCTTGCCCTTTGAGGGTTTCCAGCCCTTTATTCCGGACGCGTGCATTATGGAGTACGAGCGGCCCAAGCAGCTGCATCCGAGACATGCGCACTCTTCCCTTATGCCGGGAGCGGTCCCTGCGCCCCCGAGGCTGACGGATCAAGACCTGGCGGACAAGCCCCCTTCGCGGGGACGGGGCATGTTCAACGTCAACGCAGCGATCCGCATCATCATGCACGTCATCGGAGGGAAGGCGCTGCGCGAATATGAAGCCAAAGAAGAGGCAGCCCGGGACGCCCAGTACGCGCAACGGATCAACGCAGCCAACATCATCGACATACACAACGCTCCGAACCCGCTCCTCACCCCCAAGCACACACCGGCCGCCGACCAGGGCAACTTCGACCAGGAAAGAAACCATCGTAGAGGACCCCCTCACGCCCGGGGCTATCCAGTCCACAATCAACAGGAGGCGGGCAAATGGGCCAACGGGCAATCGACCCACGGGCATCAGACCAACGGCCAATGGTCCAACGGGCAACAGGCCAACGGCCAATGGACCCATGGCCACGATTCGCATCATCAACAACCCCATTCGCATAATCAACAACCCCATTCGCATCATCAAGGACCCCAAACACATCATCAGGGACCCCAAGCACATCATCAAGGACAAAGGGGCCGGCAACGCGGTAATCCAAGTACGGCACAACCAGGTGCTTTCCAACAAGGCGGCTTCCAGCAAGGTGGTTTCCAACAAGGTGGTTTCCAGCAAGGTGGTTTCCAGCAAGGTGGTTTCCAGCAAGGTGGTTTCCAGCAAGCCGGCTTCCAGCAAGGTGGCTTCCAACACAACCAGTATCCCAGTGCAACCCAACCCCTCACCGTGCACCAGGCCGCTGGCCACACACCCGCAGGTTCCGACTATCGCCAGGGAGCGCATTACCGAGGTGGACAGCAGCATCATGGGGGTGGACAGCAGCATCATGGGGGTGGACAACAGCATCCGAAACAGGGAGTGAGCAGTCGGCCGGTCTCAACTTATCAGGGTCTGGAGCGCCCAGCTGCCGCGTCCAACTATAGCAATCGACCCACGGGCAATCGGAACAGACGTGGAGGAGCAGCCTCTTCGACCAGTTCAGCCCGAGGCAATCCCTACTACAAACGACAAGACGGCTGATCACTTTTCATGCACACTGCTCGTCAACATAGACCACTTTTCATCCCCTCCTTATTCGTCGACACAAACAGCCCTTGTTCGTCGACACAAACAGCCCACGTACTTTTCCAACCATACTGTCAACAAAAAAAAAAGCCCAGTAAGTCTCCTCGCCGTGGTCTGGGGTTGCATTGTCTTGTGTGTGGAGTCTACCATCCGGTAGCCTGTATCCGGGAAGGTCTTTTTATCCCACGCATTCTTGAACATTCTTACGCATCTGAAGAACTCAATAATTTGGCTGCCAGCCTTCAACAAGACAGAATGACTGACAGCACAGTTATTTGATACGCTTCATCATGCCACGGACCAATTTGCTACCTTGGACTGCTAAGAGCTGCTTGCGAAATATGAACGGCTGCTCTCAATTGTGATGAGTTACAAATATTCTGATACTGGGTCAAACGGATCGAATTCAGCGACCATATGCAAATACGGTATGACCAGAAAAAGCTTGTTCAAGAGATTGACCCTGAACTTGCGACTTAGTTAAAGAAACAGTTTCCGTGGCAGACAAGAAGGCGGCGGCAATCTTGGAGAAAGATGCGCTGATTCAAGCTTTCGGGAGAGCTGGCAACGGTTCGGGAAGCGGCAGCCCAATTCGCCGTCTTCTAACGTGCAACGATGCAACAATGTGGAGTGATCAGAGGGGCAAAGTTAGTCAAGGTGGCAGTCGAGACGGGCTGCATCAACCAATTCAGTATCAAGAGACCTACAAGCTGCACCTTGGAAAGCTAGAGAAGCTGCACCTTGGAAAGCTAGATAAGAACATGAGATGCGGATGCGGCTGGTACTCCTCCACGATTAGTATTCACTGAAGCACTATCAGGACAGCGATCGCGCCATTATCCATGCCCTTTCAACCAATTCGGTTTATGCCGTTTGGTTCAGTTGCTGACGACCGTTTGGAGCGTGACTCGCTCGGCGGGAACTGTGTTCGTCCGTTATCCCTGGTCACAATAGCCGGCCGACATGGTCAATGGGTAGACTCCTGACAGTTATAGACCTTTGCGCCCACGCTTCGTGACTATAAGAAAATTAATTGAAGACCAGATGTCTGGTTGATGATATGGCAGCCCATGCGGTCGCTTTCGGATTCACACTTGGTGACACTTGGTAGGTGTTGCTTAATTAACGTCTACATGAAGACGTTAATATTTGTCTCAACAGGGATAATGCTTTGATTGAGAGAGTTACTTGGTCGTGTGAACGCATTGTGGCTTGGGGGGGACAATTCCAGAGCTAGGCGCATTCGGCCAAGGAATCAAACCGGTTGCTAGAACACTGGTGCCACACCCAATCATGAGCACCATCCAACTCTCCGAGTTCGATCCCAGGTTGAGTACTTGGCCGAGCCAACTTGTCTGACCGCTAATAAGCTTAGCGCTACAATTTATCAAAAAAGAGTGGTGTGCCTGATGATGGCACATCCGAACGACAATTAGAGATGAACCAAAAATGGGCGTGAGATGCCGCATGTGAACACTAAGTGCAGCCCACTGTACGTGTGATGCTTGCGACGAAGGATAACGGAAAAACACATTTCTCGCCGAGCAAGACTCCCTGCATATGTACAAGCTCTAGGAGGAATGAATGCTACTTATGGAGCTGAGGCAGTACACATCTCCCTTTGCGATGTGGCCCTCTTTTTTCTTGTCGAATACTACGTGAACAATTACTCCGATCGGGTCGTGCCGCCTTGACCGCAATCTCAGTGGAGCTTACTTACTGCGACGGCACGTGGGAGGGAATATGGTGGTCGAAAAATTCTGCTTTTCACGGAGAGAGGGTAATGGTGACGAGGGCAGTGACTGGACCATACGATGGTCTCCATGAGGTTAGTGACAGGTCGGAGGTACACCAGGTTAGTGACATGTCGGAAATCAATATCTTAGTACTTGGTCGAACCGGCGTTGGCAAGTCTACCTGGATCAATGCTATCATCAACTACCTAGCTCATCCGAGCTTGGATGATGCTCTGGCAGCAGACTCGCTGGGTTGGGTTGTGCCCTTCTCTTTCAGCGTGAACTTCATCCCGGATGATCAAGATGAGTATCAATGTGCGAATGTTAAAGTTGGCTTCACCGATCAAGCTAAAGATGATTCGATAAAGGTCGACGACGAGTGGAAGAAGGTCGACGAGTGCGATGGCGCGACTGGCGTATCAGCCACGCAGCGAACAATTATACATTGTGTGAAAGTCAGAGATCGAGTTATCCGATTCATAGATACTCCGGGCATTGGTGACACTAGGGGGCCAGATCATGACAAAGAGAACATGGCTGATATCTTAAGGACGTTGCGAAACTATAATGACCTCCACGGCATACTAATTCTCTTGAAGCCTAACGAGCAAAGGCTTGACGTAATGTTCAGGTTTTGCATTCAAGAACTATTGATCCATTTACATAATGATGCCGCGAAGAATATCGCGTTTGGTTTCACGAACACTCGAGGCACGAATTATGCCCCCGGCGACACCTTCGATCCGCTATTCAAGCTACTTGAAAAATACAAGGATGTTAGAGTACCCCTTTCTAAAAACACTGTCTACTGTTTTGATTCTGAGGGTTTCCGCTACTTGGCTGTACAAAAGCAGTTTGGAGTAAAATTGGACTACTTGGTCGAGAATCAGAGAAGCTGGGATCATTCAGTCAAAGAGTCAAGCCGACTCCTACAACACTTCCAGAGTCTGACACCACATCCTGTTAGAAGCACTACGAATCTCTACGAGGTTCGCAGCCAGCTGCAATCAATCGCTGAGCCAATTGCTATCACCTCTAGGAATATCCAGGATACTATTCGTGAAAATGAGGAAGACATTAACAGCTTGATGAAAGTTGAAATGGATCAAGAGGAGCTGGAGCAGCGGTTGAAGACCGAAATAAGAACTTCAATGATGCGTGGCACGGGTAATCTAAGGACCGTGTGCGCACATCAAGAATGCGTTCAACACCTACCCCGCGGAATTTTGGGTAGGGATGGAAACCCTGTCTTAGACGTGGCTCACAAACGTGTGTGCTGTTACGGGTGTTGGATTCCTTTTGCCAAGTTGGATACGAAAGGAAAGTGGTCACTTAAATTATGTGGCGCATTCAAATTTAGTAGCATTTGCCATCATTGTAACCACGAAATCAGTGACCATATGCAAATACGGTATGATCTGGAGGAGATTGTTCAATGTATTGACCCTGAACTTAAGGCATCGATTAATGAGAAGGTTTCGATTGCAGATCGGAAGCGGGTGGCAATCGAGACGAAAAAGAATCTGATTCAAGAGCTTGGAGAAGAGCTGGACATGCTTCAGGAAGCGGCAGTCCAGTTCAGCGTCTTCCTGAAGCAAAATGCTCTTCTAACGTACAACGATGCAACGTTGGAGTACTTGGAGCGGACAATGAAAGAGGAAAGGGCCAAAGTTAGCCTTGGCGGCAGTCGAGACAACCTGGATAGCCTGATTCAGTATGAGAAAAAATATAAGCAACTCCTTCAAACTCTACAGGACCACGTGGACAGCGGAAAGAAGCCCATGGATGCGGCTGGTGCAGAGGAACTTATGCGCCGTTTGTATTCACTTAAGCACTACGGAACACATCTTGAAAAGATGAGGGAGACATTCGACGCAGTAGGATGCTCCGGTCGCGAAAAACCGTACGTGGTGAAGTGAAGTGAGCACCCAGACGGTATCACCGACGGTTGGGCGACAGCAGGTTGCCCAGATCATTGGGATTTTTTTACACCAGATTTTTCCCTTACCTCCCTCCTGACGTGATGCGTGTTCAAAATTTTAAAGGAGGATGGATTTGACAGATTCTGGTAAGTAGTACATCATACCACAACACACGACATGAGTCGCAACCCACTACAACCATACTACCACACATACAGAGGTTAATATTTTGATACTTGGTCCAACGGGTGTTGGTAAGTCAACCTGGATCAATGCGTTTATTAATTACCTTACGTATAATTCACTGGATGACGCACTCAAACACCACCTGCGTTGTGAGGTACCGTTTGCATTTCGCGCGCATTACGTAAACGAACAAGGGGAATTTAACCGCATTCAAGTATCTGTGGAATTGGAAGAATTGGGTCAAGAAAAATGTCATTCCGCGACTGGTGATTCATCGACACAACGAGCTTTTGTGTATCAAGTGAACATCCAGGGTTGCATTATTCGGCTTATAGATACTCCAGGCATTGGTGATACAAGAGGAGCAGATCAAGATAAGAAGAACATGGACGACATTATGAAGGTTTTGGGTCTACAAGCAAGGCTACACGGTATATTAATTCTGTTGAAACCTAATGAGCAAAGGCTGGATTATGTATGCCGATTCCGCATTAAAGAGCTACTGTCACACTTACATCGTGATGCGGCGAAGAATATTGCTTTTGGGTTCACAAACACCAGAGGAACGAACTATAGTCCTGGCGACACATTACCAGCTTTGTGCGAATTGCTTGATGACGTTAAGGTTGATATTAAGCTTGGCAAGAACAATGTATTTTGTTTTGATTCTGAAAGCTTTCGTTACTTGGCGGCTAAGAAAAAGTGCGGTGTGCTCTTGGGTCAATTAAACGAAAATCGAAGTAGCTGGGAACACTCTGTCCGTGAGTCAAATCGTCTTTTGGAACATTTCCGGAACATTCAGCCATACGAAGTTAGGAGTACGGTAAATCTTCATGATATTCGAAGGCGAATTGAGTGTATGGCTAATATTGTTATCCCAATTGGAGACAAAATTCGTACCACCGAACACGAGATTACAACCGACCTGTCACAACATGGCACGGAAACCGAAAATGAAAAATTTCCCCACCGCATGATTGAGGTAAAGAAGTTTCAACTCGTCTGTAATCATCAAGATTGTATTGTGAAATACCCTGGCGGAATTATAGATTTGAACGGACACATGATTTGGGGCCACGGAAAAGTGTGCGATTCCGAGTGTGGGTGCGGCTACTGGACCCTGAACATGGTGGCAAGCACCAGAACGTGCTCTGCATTTGGATGGACTGGCAAAACCAGTAAACATCCTAGAGGATGGATTTGCAAAACCTGTAAACATCCTACAGGTGATCATCGGCATGTCGACTACAAGTTGAAAGCGACAAAGATGGATTTAACGGCACGTGAGATTTTTATGAAGCAGAAGCAAGTGGCAAGAGAGGGGAAGGAGATGCTGGTCAAGGATCTTGCGAGTGAACTCACAAAGTTGTTGGAGGTGGCTGCAGAATTCAGCATGTTCCTGAAGGCCAATGCTCTTATCACGTACAACGACATCATGGTGGAGAATTTGGACCGTCTGGTGGAAGACGAACAGGCCGGTGTTGGACGAGGGGACAACCAAGACAAGTTGAATTGCAGCCTAAGTCAATATCGAGACCAATACAAGAAATGTCTATGTCCTGATAAGGAGAAGAATGGAGACGAACCATTAATGCTGGATAATCAACGTGTTATGTCCCTTATGGATGACCTGTATTCTCTCGAGCATTACGGGACACGGATCAAAGAATCATGCCGGAAAATCGACGAGGCAGAGCAACCAGTGAACCGTCAAAAATGGGTTGTGGTGGAGTGGTTCTCAAAGGCATTCGAGAAGTGGCGGCGATGATGAACACTTTGAACCCTACAACCCCTTGGTTGACTTTTTCGACGCCAATTATGGCAAGTTAAACCGAGACAAAACTAATCTCCTCAGTTTCAAGCAAGTTAACCTAGACCAATATGTTTAATTTTTGGCGTCGTCTGTGATCTTTTTGAGCGGCAAAATGTTTGGGAGCAGGAATGAGGAGCTGCACGACAACGAGGGACGTGCTGCACACCCGTGTTGAATGCATTGGGCAATATGATCGAAGGGGAGCGAGACTCAGTCGGAACTCGGGGGAATCAACACAAACTGGTTTGGTGGAGTCGGCGTCGAGACCAATACCAGGAATGTGTTGAAGTAATTGAGGAGTATGACAGAGACGAAAGCAAAATACATGACCTGGTTGCAAAATATGTGAGGGAGCTCGACTCTGTCGAATACGACGGGAAATCGATCAAAGATATACTGCCTTCGTGATGAGAACGCCTCAAGACTGGAATTGCTAGTGAACGGCCCTTCACGTCGTTCGATTTTGACGGCGCGCTCTCGAACTCCTCGACTGAATGAGCACCCCGAATTTTCATGCATGCCGAGCCGCCCACTGTGACTTGCTAGGCCTTACGACTCTTTTGTCTAGCAGGCTTTCCGCTTGTCTCTTTAACTCGGTTCCGGCGATGGGTGGTAGTGGACGTAGTCTTGCCTTGTGAGGTCGCTCTTAGACGTGCTTTTCAGACCTAGGAGTGGCCAGGTTGAGTACCAGGCTCGCTTCGAAGTCGGAGTAGGTATGATTGGATGAGCACCCCGAATTTTCATGAATGCCGCTGTGCAGTGAAGTTTAAACCGTCAAAAATAGACCACCACAAAATCAAACCGAAACACTAATCTACCCAATACTGGGGGAGGCCAGTATCCCTGTCATCCCGAGCATTAGGATTCCAAGGGCTAAGATGTGAAGCAGCATCCCTCTTGAAACGTATTCCGTCGGGAGACTTACGACATATGTTTGTTCCAGGTTTACAATCGTTTTTGTTTCGGCAATTCCTTGTCTCACATCTACGAAACATTTCCCGTAATGGTTCAGGGAAGGCAGAGTCCGTATAAGCTCTTTTATCTGGTCATTATTAAGTGGCTTCTTTTCATCATCCATATGTTCTTTGAAACGTTTGACAAGTAAGCAGCGTTCTAGATACATTGTGAAGCTGTCCAGCTTGTCTCGACTACCACCGAGACTGACTTTGGACCTCTCGTCTGTGATCTGGAGGTCCAGGTACTCCAGCTTTGCATCGTTGAACGTAAGGAGAGCATTGTGTTTCAGGAAGACGTTCATTTGGGCAGCGGCATTTTGGAGCACGTCGAGCTCCCTCTTTAGGTCGGGGGCTGCATCCTTGACTCTTTCAGTGATGACAGCAATTGGTTCAACCACACATTCGATTCCTCTGCGTACCTCACAAAGAGTCACAGTGTCCCTAACTGGATGTGGCGTCAAGTTCAAGAAGTGTTCTAGCAGACGGGTTGTCTCCTTGACCGAATGATTCCAGCTTTTCCGGTTCTCGTTCAAGTCCCCCAAACTTACCCCACATTCCTTATGTGCAGCCAGACATCGGAAACTCTCTGAATCAAAACAGTACACAACACCCTTTCCCAGACGGATGTTATAGCGCTCAAGTAGTGCCTTCAATGGACCAAAGGTGTCACCTGGGGCATAATTTGAGCTTCGACAATTCGTGAATCCGAAAGCGATATTCTTCGCTGCATCACGATGTAAATGGGTCAATAGTTCTTGAATGCAAAAGCGGAACATGACGTCAAACCTCTGCTCATTAGGCTTTAAAAGAATCAGTATGCCGTGGATAATCTTATATGAGCCAAGAACTCTCATGATATCGTTCATGTTCTTCCTGTCTTGATCCGCTCCTCTTGTATCACCAATGCCCGGGGTATCTATAAGTCGAATAACGCGCTTAGCCATTTCTATTCGGTGTACAACCGTCCGCGGTGTCGCAGACGTGCCAGTCGACCCGTCACTTTCTTCAACAGCAACGCTCCCCCTGCTGGGATGAAGTTGATCGCTGAATCCAACCCTGACATTCTTGCGTTCATAATTATTCCTTTGATTGAGAGCATGAATGCTGAAGGCAAAAGGTATAGCCCAACTTAGCGTTTTGGCTTGTAGCGCAGCATCGAAGGAGGAGTAGGATAAGTAATTGATGAATGTATTAATCCAGGTGGATTTACCAACACCAGTGCGACCAAGTATTAAAATGTTAGTTTCCACAGGAATGTCTCGGATCTAAAGATTAGTATGGATGATGGAGACCCGTGCCAACGTGTTCGACGCATTACGTGCCAACGTGTTCGACACGTTGGTTAGTATGGCATACTCTAAACGACATATGCCCCCAGCCGAAAAGTATTTAATCTCACGCTTAAGCCGGAGTGAGGATCTCACGTACGGATGCAGGGTTTCGGATGCAGGGTTTCGTGGTAACCTATTTGTCTCTCTTGCGGCTCTGGTGCAGGAACGACATCTATCGATTTCTCGACGCAAAATGAAATCGATTAAAAACCAAGCGAAAGCACTGTTGCTGGGCTTGGCCACCCACGCAAAAACCCGCTCATGTCAAGGAGTTCATTTTTATCTTTCTCGTGCTTGTTGAATTCGTCGTCGTGCCTTTCGCTTGACTATCTGAACGTCTAGTGATTGCAAAGGCATTTGCAGTAAATGTATCCGTGAGAGCAGGTACCGCAACGGCCTTCTGTTTTTCGCCCGTGTCCGCTGTTTGCACCCGTGCCCAATTCTGCGCTGTTAGTACTCCAGCACGAGCCAAAAAGATCTTCGCGCACATACGTGTCAAGGCATAACCATTGCAACAAGACGAATTGGGGACGACGACGGAGAAAGAATTGGGAGTGGTGTGGGTGATGTTGCGCGCCACTTGAGATGTTTTGAGGTTCACATGAGCTCTCGTTGCCCGAGCTCCCCCGAGCTGCATCAGCTACAACGTCCAACTTAATTCCTCAGCTTTACCCTGAAGCCATCATCAATGTGGTCCTCATAGTAACGATCTCATTTATACATATTTTTGTCACAACCCGCAAATGCAAGGACAACTGCCGGACATCACAGCCATTAACAACGATGCCGAACCCAGGGACAACAGCCACGGCGATGCCCCGGCCCCCCACAAAGGTACAACTCAGTGAGCTAGAAAGTGAGGGACTGAGTACGTGGCGAGACGGGCTCACGCCGACATCCGCGCGATGTTGTTACATCCGTCCGGTTAGGCGTACTTCAAGGAGCTTTCCCCACCCCATGACTAAGCATTGGGTTTTATGGGGTTCAGCGCTGAGGGTTACTTACTCCCCCCACTCGAGATCGTTACAGTCCTGTAGTCCGTTCCCCGAGTCTCCAACAAAATGCTTGCTGGCAGCTCGTTGCCGGTCGACAGTTCCTCACATTGGTCAGACCGTCTTCTACTTGTTGTCTTTCTTTTCTTCCCCTACCACCTGATGGCAGGTGCCTCGTTCCATTCATCTCCAGCAACAGAATCAGAAGATACCGGGGAGTCAATAAACCGTGGCCTTTTCGTCTTACTCAATCCCAAGACCCCAGGGAGGTCTTACGTTTGTATTCGTCTTCATCCGGTGCGTCGATGGTGCGTGTGGACAACAGTAGCTCGGCGTGTGGGCGCGGGCCGTGGTGGCGGTGATACCACCAGGCATTGTTTTTGGTTGCTGTGCGTGCTAACTGCATCAGCCATCGTGCTTCATCAACTGCTTTTGCTAACACCTACGGATTGTTTCACCGAGCGGTCCTTCAGACAACCGTACGCTCTTGAGCAAATGGTGCTTTGTGATGATGGCTTCTTGTGTGTTCCACTCGCTTTTGTGCCGCTCCCAGGGGCCAGGTGCACGAATAACCCCAGAGCTGTGAAGTTGAGTGGGATTCGCGCCTAAATTCACCCGTAATTACGAACAGACAGCAGGAAGATGTCTGTAGCAAGTTGTGTCGCCCTCAATAAGGTACCCGTATCGTATCCGAATCTTGCTGCCTTCGGGACCTCCCCCTGCCAGCCTGACCCCCACCAAAATAGGGGTAAACCCGCCAGACTGGAGCTGTGTGCATGAGAAAAATATGAGGACCTGACTACGGCTTCCACGGCTCTGAATATCCTAATACTGGGACAAACGGGCGTGTGCAAATCTACCAGGATCAATGCATTTATCAACTACTTGACCTATTCTTCTTTAGACGCTGCGCTAAAAGCAGACGAGCTTAGATGGGCTGTACCGTTCGGTTTCGGCACACATCGACTCAATGGCCAAGGTGTATTTGAAAGAGTTAAGGTCGCTATTGAATTTGACAAAGGGGCTGCTGAACATGACGGTACATCGGGTGACTCATCCACCCAATCCACCACTGTGTACCCGCTGTAAATCGAGAATCGAGTTATTCGATTCATTGACACTCCCGGCATTGGTGATACAAGAGGAGCGTATCGCTTTCGGGTTCACAAATACTCGAGGCACGAATTATGCGCCAGGTGATGGATGCATTGGGTATACTGACCAGGTTGCTTGATCAGTTGCAGTGTGTCGACATCAGAGTTGCTAAGGAAACTGTGCACTGTTTTGATTCAGAAAGTTTTCGGTATCTAGCTGCGAAGAAGATACACGACACGGCATTGGGTCAATTAGACGAGAATCGACGCCGGATTGAGTGCATGGCTGAACCGATGGTTGACACCGCTGTTGAAATAGGGTGTCTTCTTCGTACTCCGGAAGAAACGGAGAATTTATTGAAAGCCCGGGAAGCGTCACCCCTTTTCTGATAGTAGAGAGTAGCCTTCCGAAGCCTGCGCGCGGTGTTTCCTGTCCTTGCTCTTCCTGCGGCACCCTAAAATTATATCAACACGCAAAGGCAAAATTCTTCCGAAAGAAATGAGGACGACATTTTGTAGACAATCGAATAATGCGCCGGGATCGGAGCTGTTATCGCACCTAATGAATGCTGAGGGAATCCGGCCGCCTGTTGATGACTGCGTTGTCAGGATGTTGACTCTTAGCGGCAAGAGCAGAGAAACTGATATCCTGTGCGCCGTTCTGGTACCTAGGGACGCCGTGGTGAGCTTGACTGAAGTTCGCAAGGATGTTGGCACTGAAGAAGAAGCATGTCTGAGCCAGGACCGGAGACGATTTGATTGGCTCGAAAGATGTAACAGGATTCTGGTGTATGGTTCCCCTAATACGATCAATGCTCTGGGCGACACCTTGGTTATACGAGAACTTAAGGAGTATCTGGAAGGCGTGGACCCACAGGGCAACTTCTCACACGTGTCTGACCAAATTTGCCACGAGAGCGCGGGTCAGACGATGGCACAGTTACGGAAAGTGTGCGATCTCGATTCCGACCCACTGCAAGTGACGGCTTGTAGACGTCTGAATTTTGAGGAGTTAGAGGACCTTCTTCAAAGCGTGCCAGAAGACTGGGTGCCAGCACTGCAAAGGTCAGCTCTCCAATGCGGCATATTTGATGTTGAAAGCGGCTGGAGTTGCCGGTCGACACGGTGCGTACCAAACAAAATGTGTGTAGCGGTGTCCACCGGGGCCACCATACTAAGTGGGATAGCTATTTGGGCATTATACAATTGGTTAAAACCACGTAACTCAGAAGCGGCCGCACATTCCGTGAATGGGATCTTCAATATGAGTGGCACAACCAGCGTGAATGAGAACTTTACCATGAGTCGTTCAACTCCCATGGACTTGATACATTCAGTTCACCACAGGTCCAGTCCCGAGGACACATTCACAAGTTTTGACTCGTCGATCGCTGTGAGCATGACCAAGGAAGTGCTGAAGGCGTTCCAGACGGAGACGACCACACATTCAATGAAAGCTATGTCCAGTATCAACGGCACAATCGCCATTAACAAGAACGTCACCAAGAGGGGGTCGACCGTTTTCGACTTCGCCGATGAAGGGGTGACGGAAGCTCTTGAGACGAGTACAAGCGAACACCCAGTCCAAAACAGCCCGGAAGACAATTTCGCTAGCCTCGCCGCGTCGGTCGCTGTGAACTTAGCGAAGGAAGCGCTGAGGGCTTCTGAGACGACTACGCCGTCCGCAAACGGGACGCTCAGTGTCGATGGGACAGCCACCACGAGGCTCCTGAACCTTCCGTCGACCGCTGTGAGTGCGACCTCGCCGGTGATTCGCAGCAAGGTTGTGACAAGCACCGGCCCGGAGACGACCACAGAGTATACAAGTCGTTTCAAGACGACGATGAGCAACGCAGCGTTGGACAGGATCCGGCTCCCATGGTCATATTGCGATGATCTATTCAAATCAAAGGGTTTTAAGAATGGCGGTTGGTCCAAAATGGGCGAACCGGGATGGGCATATCCGTGCCGAGGCCGCAGCGGAGTCTTGTTGTGTAAGGAACGTGGCACAGAGTCGAACAACACCTGTTACTTTTTCGGCGCTCCATGGAGATACGACGCCTTTGCGGTGCACGATGCGATTCGATCTCACGTACTCAATAATGGAGAGTGCGCTGTACGATGCGATAGTGAAGATGAAATGGTGCGTCATCTGTGGGAGGAAGCTGCCGACCATTTGCTCTACGTACCAGCTCACGTGCGGAAACGGCGGGCAGATTTTGATGATATGTTGCAGGGACGCTATCCTCTCGACAAGAAGTGCTCTGGGTGGTGTAAAGATGACGGGTGCGTCAAAGGTGATTTCAATTCCGTCCCGGACTGTCGCTGTGCCGTTTCCAAGGTCAACTGTTTCGTGCGGTCAAAGCTTGACCACATTTTTCAGAACGTTGAATCGCTTGCCTTCGATGCTGACACGCGGTATATGTTTAGCAGTCATTCTGCATTCAACGCAAAAGAGTATTTCGACGTTAAGAACTGTAGCTACGAGTGTCGATGGTTGGATTTAGACTTGGCCAAAACTGCAGTTACCAGGCGGATGTTCGAGGTGGAAAGCACAGAAGATACGAGTGGCTTCAAGACAAGAATGAGCAGTCGCGAATTAAGAAGGCTTGCGCTTACATGGGATCAGTGCCGTAAACTTTTCACGAGAGAGGGTGGCAAAGCCCGGTTCGAGTCGGTGGAACCGTTGGGGCGATATCCGTGTGGAGGCGGCAGCGGTATTTGGACTTGTAGAAAGCAGCAATCATGTCACCGTTTTGGCGGTCCCTGGATGTTTGATGTCTTCGCCGTACAGGATGCGGTTAGGCATCATCTGAGGAACGATAGAGATTGTGCCGCATTATGTTACGGTCCGGAGGATATGGTGCGTGATCTGTGGCAGGAGACAGAAGCAAATTTGGCTTCTTTCCCTCACCACAACCAAACTCCCCGACGGGAAGATTTCAACGCCGCCCTGTCGCATCTCTATCCAGTGAACAAACCTTGCTCCTCTTCCTGTGTGAACTGTGATGAAAATGATTTCGCCCCCGTCAAGGACTGCTTATGTCATGTGGCGAGAGTCAACTGCCCCGTCCGAGACATGTTGGATAATCTTTGGTTCCAGCTTGAATCCTTTGCTTATGACACGAGTCCGCGAGATGCGTTCAGAAGCCTTTCTCTGTTCAACACAAAGGAGGAGAAGTACCTGGTGGGAAAGTGCGACTCTGAATGCCACATACACTCCTTAGAGCTTTAACGTCCCGTCCCGTCCCGAAGTGGTAAGCTACCTGGTTTGTATGTGGGACTCGTGGCTACTCGGTGAAGGGCTCGTGGGCTGTGACATCGTAGAGGGAAGCGTGAGTATCGGATCTGAGTCTTTTTTAAAAATCGTCTGTTCGTTTTGTGTGTGGGCGACCGTATTGTCTGGCGACGTCGTGCGTGCGGGGACGCGGGGCGGCGTTCATACGACACAACCTCCCGGCCTTTTTTTAAACGTCGCGGGGTACCAAGGCGAAGTGAAGTCTTGAGTTGCCCGTATCGTTCCTCAGTAGTCTGTCTATGGAGGACTTCCTCCTTCCGGTGAATGGTCGGATCGCCGGTCTCGGCCTGGTGTGAGGTCCTCGTGGTATGGTCTAAATAATGCATTTAAACTTATAACACCCACACTGTTTAGTTCCTTAGTAGTCCCGCCTCAAAAAAAAATCAAGTCCCCCTAAAAATTGTGTGTGCGAAGGAGACATCTTGTTATAGATTGTTCCTCCGGGCGGGGCGACTTCCTGGCTCTTCCGGGCGCATTGGGTAACCTTCATCTTTCT